AAAAGGAAACTTATGACTTCAAGTCATTTTTGTGGACAGATGGGTTTTATTTTGCTGCTGGTAAACAGCAGACACCTGACTGGCTCTTTTGTCTTTCCTTTCTCTATACTTTTTCGACGCAGCTGTTCTGTGCTCATAATTTATTTTCCAGCTCCAATATCGAGCGCAGTCGATTCGCAATCTCCATTGCTTAGCGTAGCCGATCCTAGCAGCCGTCTTCAAAATGGGATCTTGATGATTATTTGGTACATCTTTCATACAGTGTAATAGAAATATCGACGGGCCTAAAGATAATTCTAGTCCAGGGAGACCACTTTATGCCCAAAATAATCTGGACAGTTAAAGACTGTAGGCTCCTTGCAGGCAGGGACCTGTGGCCTGGGCGTTACCGTGTACACTGAATATGCTGCATTGAATCAAAGGGCCATAGCTCAGGGGTCCCTGATTCAAGATCCCGGGTTCAATATCCAGTTAGGGCTGGGAGAGTATCCTGTCTGAAATCCTAGAGAACCACTGCCAGTCAGTGCAGGCATTATTGAGGTAGATGGACCAATAATCTGATTCTGTATAAGGAAGCCTTCTAGGTCCCTATGTATATAATAATAACAATAACAAACATCACAATTGGAGACAAATCTGTTGGAATGTAATGTTAATGCGCTGTCTAAAATGTATAAGATGTTATTGGAATGGGAGACGAAGGATAAGCAAGTAAAATCCTCAATGATACAATGGGTAATAGATATTGGTTATAATATAGATATGGGAAACGATTGGTGGAACAGAGATATAAAATTCACAGCGTCTTATGGTTTATAAGAGAAAACTATATGAAAATGTTATATCGATGGTATCTAACACCGAGTAAACTGGCAAAAAGGTATAAATCAAAATCGAATAAGTGTTGGAAATGCAAAAAGAAGGTACTTTTTATCCTATGTAGTGGTCTTGTGGCAAGGTTAAAGCTTACTGGGAAATGATATATAATGAATTGGAAAAGATGTTTAAAATAGCATTTGTAAAAAAATCAACCCCCAAACCAGAAGCTCTCCTTTTGGGAATTATTGAGGCAGAACTACCCATACTGTATAAAAAATTATTCATGTATGTGACTACAAGAATGTTATTTGCCCAAAAATGGAAAGACGTCCCAATGAAAAAAGAATGGATACAAAAACGTATGGAATATGCAGAAATGGCGAAACTTACCGGAAAAAAAATAAGAATTCAAGGTAACAAACTTTTTATTAAAAAATGGAAATGGTTTATTATTGAAATAATTACAAACAAACTGCAAACAGATAAGAACATTGGCAGGATTATTGTAATACATATTTAGTATATATTTAAAGTAGATCAATAAATGAATAAGCTAAGTTAATTTGGAATATGCAGGAAATATAAAAAATAAATTTAAGGAACCGCAGAAAGAGGAAGAAAGTCAAGTTCTGAAGTGTTAGAATGATTGTAAAACTATTGTAATGTAAACATATAAAACGGAAAATCATAAATAAAAATTATAAATATCAATAACGAGCAAAATGGGGTTGGTGTATTTATAAAGCTTTATAATTCCAAATGTGAACACACACAGAATGACCATTAGTTTGCCTGCCGCCTTCATTATACACCTTTAGGCGCCAGGCAAAAATGTTCCTTTTCAACCAGGCCTTGGACTGATTGACAGCCGATGCCCTTTTAAATGAGTTGTTAGAAGCGGGTGGGTTATTGGCTGGTTGGTGCCCTTATTTTTACTATGTGTTTTTCAGCTTTTATATTGTAATTTTATGTAGAGTTGGAAGGGACCTTCAGAGGTCCTTTAGTCCAACCCCCTGAAATGCAGGAATCTTTCGCCCAAGGTGGGGCTCGACCCCCCAAAACCCTGAGTATTAATTAATCTCCAACGAGCTAGCAAGCTGCAGCTCCCAGGAGATTTGGGAGAAGGCACGGCTGCTTAAAGTGATACAGTCGTGCTTTAAATGCATAGTACAGACGGGGCATTAGCTGGGTGCAACTTGGAACATGTTGAACAACCCACTAACACAGCATAAATACTGCTTTTTATTGTTATAATTATAGCGACTCGTGTAGGGTCCCTCTGGAAATGTTCTATTTACATCTCTCTCTCTCTCATACGCACACACCCTCATCCCACGCAATCTAACTGTTTGGGTGCATCTGCCGAAGAATAATGACTCAGAAAGACGAACAATTAACTTTCCTTCTCCTTTTTCTCTGTTGTTATTGTGTTCTGTTGTGTTCCGTATCGATCTGTTGTCTTAGGCTGCTTAACGCTTTGTTCAAGCCAATTGTCTCGCTTGCTAAAACTCTTAATACCGCGTGTTTGTTTAAGGGGAGGCAGGAGAATATGAACAGCAGGACGGAGCCTTGATGACAAAGTCCCAGAACCCATTAATTCCTCCAGAAGCCCCAGCACCTATCTCTCTCCCCCACCCACCCCCTTTTTAAAACCCCATGGGCAGGAAAATGAAACAGATTTTGAGGGTAGGCCTTGCAACCAGCAAAGCTCTACCTTTAAGCCTCAGGAATTGTGTCCCCTTTCCATCCTCCCCCCACCCACCCCTTTTCCCACCCAGTCCTTGTTTCAGCCCAGAACCTCTCGTCCCTTTCTTGGGCTCCATGATCACTGCAGATGGTGACGGCAGCCACAAAATTAAAAGACGCCTGCTTCTTGGGAGAAAAGCAATGGCAAACCTAGACAGCATCTTAAAAAGCAGAGACATCACCTTGCCGACAAAGGCCCATATAGTTAAAGCTATGGTTTTCCCAGTAGTGATGTATGGAAGTGAGAGCTGGACCATAAAGAAGGCTGATCGCTAAAGAATGGATGCTTTTGAATTCTGGTGCTGGAGGAGACTCTTGAGAGTCCCATGGACTGCAAGAAGATCAAACCTCTCCATTCTGAAGGAAATCAGCCCTGAGTGCTCACTGGAAGGACAGATCCTGAAGCTGAGGCTCCAATACTTTGGCCACCTCATGAGAAGAGAAGACTCCCTGGAAAAGACCCTGATGTTGGGAAAGATGGAGGGCACAAGGAGAAGGGGACAACAGAGGACGAGATGGTGGGACAGTGTTCTTGAAGCTATGAACATGAGTTTGACCAAACTGCGGGAGGCAGTGGAAGACCGAAGTGCCTGGCGTGCTCTGGTCCAGGGGGTCATGAAGAGTCGGACACAACTAAACAACAACAACAAGGAAACAGATGCCGGGGCTGAACCCTAGAACCCATTGTTTAAGCCCCAGCACCGCTCCCCACCCATTTTACAGGGAAAAGAAAATAGGTTCAAGGGGCTAAGCTCCATCACCCATTACTACTGCATCACAGCCCCAGTACCTCTTTCCTCCTTTTCAAAAAAGAAAACAAGGGCAGATGTTGAATCCTGGAGCCCATTATGCCCTTGTTTGAACCCCAGCGCCTATCCTGACCCCCTTCCCTTTCTTTTAACCCTATAGAAAAAAATACTGTATTTTTTGCTCTATAAGACCCACTTTTTCCCTCCTAAAAAGTAAGGGGAAATGTGTGTGCGTCTTATGGAGCGAATGCAGGCTGCACTGCTATCACAGAAACAAGAACAAAAATAGGGATTGCTGCTTTCGCTGCACAGCGATCCCTCTTGTTGTTCTGGCTTCTGGGATTCAGAATTTTTTTTCTTGTTTTCCTCCTCCAAAAACTAGGTGCGTCTTGTGGTCTGGTGCGTCTTATAGAGCGAAAAATACGGTAGGTGCTGGGCCTGGGCCTTGGAAGCCATTAAGTCCTTGTTTGAGCCCCATCGCCTCTTTCCCCTGCCCCTTAAGCAAGGGGTGGGGAGCTTTTCCATCCTGAGGGCCACATTCCTTTCTCGACAGCCTTCCAGGGGCCACACGCTACTGGTGGGTGGGGCCAGTGGCAAAAGTGGGTGGAGTTTCTACACACTTTTGCACACGGCTCTGTTCTCCATCCCCAAACCTCCTTGAGTTGCCTCGCCTCTTCCCCGCTGCTTTATAATCCAACAGGAACAAGAAAATAGGTTCAGGGGCTGAGCCCCAGAGCCTATTACCCCACGTTTGAGCCCTGGCATCTCTCCCCCTTTTGTTCCCCACCCAGTAAGAAAAAAGAAAATAGGCACCGTATTTTCTTAGCCCCAGAAGCTAAAATTACCCCCATGTCAGAACATATCCCCTTGCTATTTGAACCCAACAACAAAAAGGAAATAGGTGCTGTTGTTGAACATATCCCCCTCCCCTCTTGTTTGGGCCCCTAACCTCTCCTCTTCCTTTTAAAATCCAATAGGGAAATAAAAATAAAATAGGTGCAGGGACTGAACCCTGGAGTCCATTTCCCTCTCTGTGTGAGCCCTGGAACCCCTAGCTCTTTTTCAAAACCCAATAGGGGGAGAAATAAAGAAAATAGGTGCAGGGGCCGAGCCCTGGGGCCCATTCCCCTCCGTGTGTGAGCCCCAGAACCTCTTTCTCCCTTTCAAAACCCAATAGGGGGAGAAATAAGGAAAACAGGTGCAGGGGCCGAGTCCTGGGGCCCATTACCCTCCATGTGTGAGCCCCGGAACCTTTCTTTCTCTTTCAAAACCCAACAGAGGGGGAGAAATAAAGAAAAAAGGTGCAGGGACTGAACCTTGGAGCCCATTCCCCTCCATGTGTGAGCCCCAGAACCTCTATCTCTCTCCCTTTCAAAACCCCAAGGGGGGGGGGACAAAGAAAATAGGTGCAGGGACTGAACCCTGGAGCCCATTCCCCTCCATGTGTGAGCCCCAGAACCTCTCTCTCCCTTTCAAAACCCAATCGAGTGGGGAGAAATAAAGAAAAAAGGTGCAGGGGCTGAGATCCCTTCCCAAACCATTCAGGAGCCCCTTTGCTTGAGCCCGGGCCCCTATCCTTCCCTGCCCTTTAGGGAAGCCTTGAAGGCCGCGCCCTTTCGCCGGGTCCGCCCCGTCCGAGGCGGAGCCGCGGCTGCCGGGGCCGCTTTGGCGGCGGGGCGGAGCGGGAGGCGGGTCCGGGCGAGGAGGATCCGGCCGAGGCGGGAAGGAGGGCGGCCGGGCGCCCCATCGCGGGGGGTTTGCCCGGGAGGGAGGGAGGCTGGCAGCCAGCGCTTCCCCGCAGGGCTTTCCCCGGGGATCGATCTCGGACGGAGCCTCGGCGATGGGTCCGGTGGGGCTGCAGCTGCTCTCGGGGGCCTGCCTGCTCTTCTCCCTGGGCATGTTCGGGACTGGCCTGTGAGCGCATTTTGTGGTTGGGGGCATTGGTTGTGGGGAGGGGGCAAAACACGTCAAGGCCGAGGGGGGGGGGTTCTGGTTGGGTCAGGGATGTGGGGCTGTAGCGGGGGGTGGAGGTGGATCTCCTGCCCTCCTTCCCCAGCAGGTGCCGGGCTCTGCCCCCGAGATAGACACGTGGGGCTCCCCCAGCGAAATACCGCCCTGTGCACGTGTGAATGCGACGTGGCGTGGAGTGTAACACGTATCGCGGTGGGGCAGAGCTCCAGCGACGTGTCTCTGGGTGAGAGGTGCTGACAATAACAGTTTTATGGGGCGGACCTACCAGGAAGTGGGTTGCTATGGAGCAGGATATATGGGCAAGAGGCTCAGGTTCAGGTCTTTATTATTCTGGGTGTTTTCTCTCGCTCCCAACGACTTTTTGGTTCAGTGCCACACTTATAATTTATGGGGGTTAAGGCATGGGGTGTGTTTTGATGTGGGGCAGACAGAACCAAGGATGGTGTGGGGAACACAGACTACATACACAGTTAGAGCACACAGACACCCCCCAATAATCCTGGGAACTATAGTATGCTCAGGGTGCTGGGAATTGTAGCGCCGTGAGAGGCAACGAAGTTTCCCAGGATCCTTTGGTGCAGTTGCGGGTGCTTTAAATATGAATACAAAAACGGGGTTAGCTGGCGCAGAGCTGGGTATGTGAGTGGGGGAAACGAGCGTGGATGGATCCGACGTAGGGGTGAAGAGATGTGGGGCAGAGCGGTGGGACGGGTGATGGAGCTTTGGGCACACAGGCGCCTTGTTGTAATCAAATGGGGACCTACGTCAGCCTCCATGACGACAAGGTATCCTCTCTCGCCTCTTCTCCAGGTCTGACCTGAAGCAGATGTTTGCAACCCAGAGTGTGGAGAACATCCAGTTCCTGCCGTTCCTCACCACCGATGTCAAGTATGGCCTGGGACTCTTTGGGGGAGCTCTGCTTAACGTGGTTGTGGAACCTGTGGTCCTCCAAACGTTGATGGATTCCACCTCCAACCATCCCTGCTGGCTGCAGGGGCTGATGGGAATTGGAGTCCAACATGATCTAGAGGGCCGCAGGTTCCCCTTCGCTGCTTTATACCTCTATAGGTGCATTTAATAGGTGATCCCTGATTGGTTGGGACCACCTGTGTCTAGGACAAGGGTGGGGAGCATGGTGGTCCTCCAAATGCTGCTGGACTCCCATCACCCCTGACCTTTGGCCATGCTGGCTGCAAGGGCTGATGGGAATTGGAGTCCAACACGCTCTAAACCAGGGGTCAGCAAACTTTTTCAGCAGGGGGCCGGTCCACTGTCCCCCAGACCTTGTGGGGGGCCAGATTATATTTTGAAAAATAAAATAAATGAACGAATTCTTATGCCCCACAAATAACCCAGAGATGCATTTTAAATAAAAGCACACATTTTACTCATGTAAAAACACCAGGCAGGCCCCACAAGTAACCCAGAGATGCATTTTAAATGAAAGCGACATACCGGTATTCTACTCATGTAAAAACACACTGATTCCCGGACCTCCGCAGGTTGGCTTTTGAAGGCGATTGGGCCGGATCCGGCCCCTGGGCCTTAATTTGCCTACCCATGATCTAGAGGGCTGCAGGTTCCCCATCCCTACTTTACACCTCTGTAGGTGCATTTAATAGGTGATCCCTGATTGGTTGGGATTGCACAGAGCGGGCTCCTGCTGCAGCGTGTCTTTGGGTGGTCATTGGGCAAGTCTGCACAAGTGCAGAGGTTTACCCTTTGGGGTTGGAGCTGCAACCTGGGCGATGTAAACAAGGTTGTAGTGTGAGCTCTGCTAAAACCAGCAATTGTTCTGCACCAGATTCCACAGCCTGAATAAAGCATATTTTTCTATGGCTGCATGATTTCTTATTTTGATTGATTCATACTTTATTATTTTTTTTATTAAAGATTTTCTTGATTTACAAAAGTATGTGCAATGTCTCTCGTATTTTTTTCATGTAACATTAAAACATTTTTTAAAAATACTTTATTCTGATTTGCTACTCATGCAAGACACTGAATGTTGATGATGGTGATAATAATAATAATAATAATAATAATAATAGTAGTAGTAGTAGTAGTAATAATAATAGCAATCTGCCAGAAGATAGGAAATGGACATTTTTCTTCCCCTCTTACATTATCTTTATTATCATCATCATCATCATCATCATCATCATCATCATTAACTTCATTTGTTGCATATCTACTACAAAAATGTCCCGAGGCAACGTAACAATACCAAAAAATGCATTTTATTTTAGTCAAAACAAAAAAAATTCCTTCCAGTAGCACCTTAAAGACCAACTAAGTTAGTTCTTGGTATGAGCTTTCGTGTGCAGAAGAAGAAGTGTGCATGCACACGAAAGCTCATACCAAGAACTAACTTAGTTGGTCTTTAAGGTGCTACTGGAAGGATTTTTTTTGTTTTGACTATGGCAGACCAACACGGCTACCTATCTGTAACTGATTTTATTTTAGGGCATCTAAAAACAATAAGCACCCAAAATGCTCACTGGCTCTATTGTTAACCCCAACTATTGGGAATAATATTGAATTCAACAGGTCTTGCATCTTGAGTAGACATGGTTAGGGTTGTGCTGTAACTCAAAAAGCAGCAGACAGAAACCCCACCTCCCTTTTACCAAGTACGCACGATTGTTTGGGCGGCTTTGCCCATAAGGACTAGAGACTTGACATCTTACAAATGCAGCCTGAGGTTCTTGGGACGCAGAGATCTTGCACCTGGTAGCTTAGGCCATGATTCTGCTGCAGGCTAACTTGAGCTCTGGGTGTACAGTGGTGCCCCGCAAGACGAATGCCTCGCAAGACGAAAAACCCGCTAGACGAAAGGGTTTTCCGTTTTTGAGTTGCTTCGCAAGACGATTTTCCCTATGGGCTTGCTTTGCAAGCGAAAACGTCTTGCGAGTCTTGCAATTTTTTTTCGCTCCCCCCCCCTTTTTCTAAGCCGCTAATAGCCTTTTAGCCGCTAAGCCGCTAAGCTTTTAATAGCCGCTAAACCGCTAATAGCGCTAATCCGCTAATAGGGTTGCTTCGCAAGACGAAAAAACCGCCAGGCGAAGAGACTCGCGGAACGGATTATTTTCGTCTTGCGAGGCACCACTGTACATAATTGTGATATGGCTATTAGCATAGATGCAGTTCTTTTGGCACCCAGACCCCTTCTGAGGTACGTCCTGTGCCGGCTACACTGTGTGATCTGGAGTTACCGGAATGGCTGTCCTCATTAAAAGCAACAACTTTTACCTTCTCTTTCCCCCTGCAGTAATTTGAGCTGGCTGAGTTACGGCTTCCTGAAGGGAGACTGGACTCTCATTCTCGTCAACGCGGTGGGCGTGACGTTGCAGACTCTCTACATCCTCGTCTACTTCTACTTCAGCTCCGAGAAGGTGGGTGGGGAATGTGGACAAAATCAGACAGGTTAACCACATTGGAAGAGCCCTGCAGGATCAGGCCAAAGGCCCATTTGGTCCAGCATCCTGCTTTCTGGAAGGCCTGAACCCTTTCTCCCTGAGATGCTAGCTTTTTACATACGGGGAGGACTTTCCTGGCTCGAGACCCCTGCACCTGCTCAAGTGGTACAGTCCCAGGAAGCCTGTACCATGTGCCGTTTTGTAATGAGCGCTCCAATTGGCTCTTTCCTGGCACCCTCAAGCCTACATTCAGAGGCTGTTGACTCAAGAGGGCTGGTATCTTGAATCAACAACAGGCCACGTTTTGATGGGCCATAAATTTTCCATAGTGCTCCAGCCACGCCTGACTTACTATCCCTGGGTCATTTGCAGGGCACGGCGGAAGGATGGAGGGAGACTTCTGTATTACACACACAAAATCAGCGTTTTAACAACCAAGTGCCTTGCATGATTTTTTTAATGTATATATTTAATGTGCATAATGTATATAATTATTATTCATTGCACTTCTTAAGTCACTTTTCTGGCGAAAAAATAAACTCATAGCAGCTTCCAGTAGAATACGAAAAATTGAAACCAAGCTAAAATATAGCTTGGCTGGCAGCGCATGAAGACTCAAGGTCATGGGTTCGAGCCTTGCGCTGGGCAAAAATATTCTTGCATTGCGGGGGGGTTCGACTAAATGGTCCCTTCCAACTCTACAATTTATGATTCTATGAAAAGATAATGAAAGCTAACAACATGCATAAACATCAAAGGTGGTCTAACACAATACTAAAATACGCCACAATATACTGTATAAAATTTGCTAATTTAAAGCCTGGCTGAAAAGAAACATTTTTTTACCCGATCCTTAAAAATAACTGGTGATGGTTCCAAGCATAACTTCCCTGGAGAGAGCCATGAGTGCTTAAGGTGGTTATGCTACTACTTTTAAGTTAAGGTTACCAGATTTTTTTCAAAGAATCCGGGGACACTTTTTTGAAACAAAGAGAAAAAAAATATTAAAAAAATTAGTGTTTTTTTTTTTCAAAAAAGAAGCAATATCTTCTCTTCTGTGGTCTTCTCTGTCGCATGGCCTTCCTCTGTGTCCCAGCCTGCTCTCTTGGAGTGCTAGCCACTGTGGAGTAAGCTTGGGTTGGGCCTGGGCTCGGCCACGTGTCCTTGCCCTCCCAATGCTCTCCTACCTCTCCTCCTCAGCGGGCTGCAGGGCTCCCCTCTTTTTTCTCCTTCCTCTTCCTCTCTCTTCCTTCTCCTTCTCCTCTCCTCCTTCTCCCTGCATCGGCTCCAGGGTTTTCCTGGCCCCAGAGCGTCGCTGGGCAGTTGGCTGGGTGGCCAGGGCACTCTCGCTCCTGGCTCAATTTGGGTCGTGGGGGGCGTATCAGCGGTCCCCCCCCCCAGTTGACGCGCCGGGTGTCCCTGGTTCCCCCACGGCAGCGGCAGTCTCCCCGGAGCCAGCCTGGTATCGCAGTTGGCTCTGGCTGGCTTCAGGAGCTGCTCGCGGCGCCTGCCATTTTGCCTCGCCGGAAGTCCCCATATGATGTCTTGTGCCGTTGAACCAACAACATTCATTCCCTACTAATAAATCTACAACATTTAAATATAAATCCGGGGACATTAAATGAAATCCGGGGACGGATTTTGTCCGGGGACAGATTTGTAAATCTGGGGACTGTCCCTGGGAAATGGGGACATCTGGTAACCATATTTTAAGCACATGGTGCAGATGGGAGTGAGAAAACAGGTTCCCGATCTTATGTAGAAGTCCGGGATGGGCAGCCTAATGGTTAGATTCCAGCTTTCATCAGCCCCAACCAGTAGGATCCGTGGTTTGGCATGATGGGAGTTGTAGGCTAGCAGTGTCTGAAGGGCTATCTGTGTCCCATCCTTAGTTTAAATAAGGAATTATTTAAATAATAATAAATGGAGTGGAAGTTTAAATAGTGAGTGTTGTTGATTCCAAATAACCACCTCCTTTTCTCCTCCCTTGTCTAGCGGTCTGTGCTGTTGAAGACCATGGGCTTATTGGCAGTGCTCCTCCTCGGCTATGGCTACTTCAACCTGCTGGTTCCGGATGTTTCCGTGCGCCTGACACGCCTGGGCCTCTTCTGCAGCCTCTTCACCATCACCATGTACCTCTCGCCACTAGCTGACCTGGTATGCAAAAACGAAAAAAAAGATTGCCATTCTCATAAACTAGCATACAGGAGTAATATTGCCCTCTCGACAGAGCTGACAGGATGCAGCCATTGTGGCCAATAGCCACTGATATTCCCGTTTCCTACTGGAATCTTCCGGGCCCCTTCTCAAGCTATCCAAGTGGGCGGCCGTCTTGTGGGAGTGAGTTCCACAGGCACCGTGTGAACCTAAGACCATATAAGAAAGAGATTGGTGGCTGGGCCAGGCCCAAGGCTCATAATAGTCCAGTTCTCCCATGACGGCCGACCAGATGCCTCAATGGCCGTTTTGGTTCTCTTGCTCTACGCTTTTCAGGGTGAACTCGTTTTAATCGAGGCAATTCAAAACCATCATTTAAAATCCCCAAGTTTTAAAAAAAGGGCTGATTTGAAATTGCTAATGGGAACTCAAGTTTGCTGCTGGCACATTTTCAAGTGTTTGGGGTTTTTTTCCACCCAGGCAAGCCAAGAGGCATGAACAGAGTTTCAAGGGCACATTTTTGCCAAGGAAAAAAACACCCCAGGAGGCTGCAAAGCAGGCGTGGCCTGCTGAGAGTTCCAAGGGCCAGATAGGAAGGTTTAGAGGGCCACATTTGACCCCCCAAGTCTGAAGTGTGCCCGCCCTCTGGTCATTCAGCTGACCAATTAAATATAGCATCCTGGAAACTGTTATTTGGAAGGGCTAGGATATAAACGGATTAAGGGTGTTGTTGGTTTTTTAAAAAAGAAATGAATAAGAGAGGTGAATTTACGACTAAATAAGTGCCTGCCCTCAGATGGCATAGCCCTATCAGGCCTAGTCATCCCCGTGGCTTCATCCTGTGTTGCGTAACTCTCCGCTTTGGCCCCGATCCCATCCCCACCCTGCTTAGCCATCCAAAACATTTGCGCACCGCAGCTCAGGTGTCTAGAGACGCCGGTGCCATTTCCTGTGATGAGACAACGGCAGGACCGGAATCTTCCGGAAGCCAGGCCTGCCTGCCAGGTGGCGGCGTGGCAAGTCCTTCATTATTATTGTTTTCTTAAGGTGAAAAGGAAATGTCCTTGTTCAGAGAGAGAGAAAGAGAGAGTGAGCATTCGTGATCCCGAGAAACAGGATCAGTTGCAGGACTCGGGTTGTTGAACGAACACACTGGTCCCAGTTCACGTGGAACTGGGAAGTGTGGTTTGGTACAGGGATCTGAGAGGAACTAAGGCCTGTGGGCCAAATTCAGCCTTTAAGAAGTTTTCATCTTTTTCTGGCCTGCATGACTTTTCCCAAACTAGATCGCCAGCTGTTGTTGGACTACAACTCCCATCATCCCTTGCTTAGCAGAACTAGTGGTCAGGGATGATGGGAATTGTAGTCCAAAAACAAGCTAGAGACCCAGGTTTGGGAAACCCGGCTCCAGGCCACCATCCCTGCTGTACCATCTCCTTGAGAGCTTTTTCCTGGTGAAAATCTTTCCTTAAATACCAATTGCCTGCCTGCATGGGGGATGCGTGTGTGTGTGTGTGTGTGTGTGTGTCTGACAGGAATATCACCTGCCGCTTAAAGGGAAGAGTCACACCTGATACATAAGAAGCTGCCTTATATCGAGTCTATTGGTCCATATATCTCTTAGTGGCTGGGGAAACCCAGCCAGATGGGCAGGGTATGTGTGTGTGTGTGTGTGTGTGTGTGTGTGTGTGTGTGCTTATGATTATTATGATTATTATAATATATAGTGTGTGTGTGTGTGTGTGTGTGTGTGTGTGTGTGTATATATATATATATATATATACACACACACACACACACACACACACATACAGTGGTGCCTCGCAAGACGAAAAGAATCCGTTCCGCGATTCTCTTCGTCTAGCGGTTTTTTCGTCTTGCGAAGCAACCCCATTAGCGGCTAAGCGGATTAGCGCTATTAGCGGCTTATCTGCTAAAAGGCTATTAGCGGCTTAGCGGCTTAGAAAAAGGGGGGGAAGCGGGGGGGAAATGGCGAGACTCGCAAGACGTTTTCGTCTTGCAAAGCAAGCCCATAGGGAAATTCGTCTTGCGAAGCGCATCGCAAACGGAAAACCCTTTCGTCTAGCGGGTTTTCCGTCTTACCAGGATTTCAGGTTCCGCACCAGCCCTACCTAGGGATCGAACCTGGCACTTTCAGGTCCTGCTGGCAGGTTTCCCATGGGGGCATCTGGTTGGCCACTGCGAGACTGGTATGGTGGGCCCAGGTGGGATTGGGGGTCAGGTCCAGCAGCCAAGCTCGTCTTCGGTCCTTATGGTCCAAGCACAATTCAAAGTGTTGGTGCTGACCTTTCAAGCCCTAAATGGCCTCAGTCCTGTATACCTGAAGGAGCATCTCCACCCCCATCATTCTGCCCGGACACTGAGGTCCAGCACCGAGGGCCTTCTGGTGGTTCCCTCGCTGCGAGAAGCAAAGCTACAGGGAACCAGGCAGAGGGCCTTCTTGGTAGTGGCGCCCGCCCTGTGGAATGCCCTCCCACCAGATGTCAGGGCAATAAACAACTACAGTGGTACCTCGGGTTACAGACGCTTCAGGTTACAGACGCCTCAACTTACAGACTCCGCTAACCCAGAAATAGTACCTCGGGTTAAGAACTTTGCCTCAGGATGAGAACAGAAATCGCGCAGCGGCAGCGGGAGGCCCCATTAGCTAAAGTGGTACCTCAGGTTATGAACAGTTTCAGGTTAAGAACAGACCTCCAGAACGAATTAAGTTCTTAACCCGAGGTACCACAGTATTTTACTTTTAAAAGACAACTGAAGGTGGCCCTGTTTAGGGAAGTTTTTAATGTCTGACGCTGTATTGTTTTTAATATTTGATTGGAAGCTGCCCAGAGTGGTTGGGGAAACCCAGCCAGATGGGCGGGGTATAACTAATAAATAATAATTGTTATTATTATTATTGGTTCTGACACCTCTGAACCGGACAATTCTTTGCGTTTTCGCAGGCCAAGATCGTGAGGAGCCGCTCCACGCAGTGCCTCTCCTTTCCGCTGACGATCACAACCTTCCTGGCTTCTGCCTCCTGGACCTTGTATGGGATTCTGCTTCAGGATGTTTACATCGCGGTGAGCAGCGCACGTTTGTGTGCGCCCGATTTTTGTGCACGTGGAGGTGGCCACGGCAGTGTCCGTTGAACGGTTGTGCCCCCGCCTCTGCCCTCTGATAAATCATGCAGCATTGATTTTAATTAATTAAATGGAGAGGCCAGTAAACCACCCTTGGCAGAGAGGAACACGAGAGCGGGTGGTGGTGATGCAATTGGATTTTTTTAAATCGGTTTTTCTCCCCACCCCCCTTCTCCTGTTTGACCTTCACCTTGTTCCTCCCCATATCTCCCTCCCGGGTTAAGAGATTTTAAGATGCTGCCTTATGCAGAGTCGGATTTTTGAGTCCACCAAGCTCAGTGTTGTCTGCACTGACTGGCAGCATCTCTCCAGGGTTTCAGGTGGGGGTCTCTCTCCCAGCCCCCCGCCTGGAGAAGTGCCATTGGGGACTTTCTGCAAGCAAAGCAGACATAGCTGTCAACTTACAGATTTGAAAATAAGGGATCAGCAGCCAAAATAAGGGATCAACAATTACTTTGATAAAATACGTATTTTGTTGCATGCAAATGGCTTTAGATACCTATTAGGTCCATAAATTACCATATAGCATATATTCAACACAAAAAACAGCAACAATTTGTTGTTGACAAAGGACAGCTGGACATAGAAAGGGCCCCATTACCTTCAGTAGCTTATTTAAGGGACATCATCAATAAGGGACAGCAGCGGGACATGGCGCTGGGATAAGGGACTGTCCTGCCAAATAAGGGACACTTGACAGCTATGAAGGCAGATGGTCTGCCACTGACCTCCTTTCTCCCTCTTCCAGGTCCCCAACGTGCCAGGCATAGCCACCAGCCTCATCCGGTTCTGGCTCTTTTGGCGCTTCCCTCCGGACCTCAACAAAACCTACAAGTCGCTGCAGGCCTGAGGACCCATGGGATGGGTTTTATGACCGCCCTTGGCCAAGGAAGGGGGAGAAGCGCTGAGTTTCGCTGGGTGTGGCTGCTGCGTCCCAGCTCTCCTTGCACCCTCAGGAGCCCCCCCCCGACCATCCGGACTGTGCAAGTGGACTCCGTGGCAGGAACAATTAATTCCTCCTCCATCTTGGGCTGTATGGTGCAGACTGAAAACCAGGGAGCCAGAGCAGGAAAAGGATGAAGGAACCAACCCACTCTCTCTGCTGCTTTTCCAGGGTACGACAGTGGCCCTCCGGGTGCTGCTGGACTACAACTCCCATCATCCCTGCCCATTGGCCATGCTAGCTGATGGGAGCTGGAGTCCTGGAACATTGTTGAACTGCAACTTCCATCATCCCTGCCCACTGACTGTGCTGGTTAGGGGCTGATGGGAACGGGAGTCTGTGAACATTGTTGAACTACATCTCCCATCATCCCTTGCCCATCGGCCGTGTTGGCTGATGGGAGCTGGAGTCCTGGAACGTTGTTGAACTACAACTCCCATCATCCCCGCCCATCGGCCATGCTGGCTGATGGGAGCTGGAGTCCTGGAACGTTGTTGAACTACAACTCCCATCATCCCCGCCCATTGGCCATGCTGGCTGATGGGAGCTGGAGTTCTGGAACATTGATGAACTACAACTCCCATCATGCCTCACCATTGGCTGGTGCTGATGGGAGTTGGGGTCCAGGAGCATCCTAACTAGCCACCCACGTTCTTCACCCTAGACCTAGGAGGTGTAAACATGGAGACCCCCCCTGCTCCCCAGAAAGAAAATGTTGGGGGTCTCCTCGCTTTAATGCATTACTTCCAGAAGGCGACTTTCTCCCCCCGCTTTGCGGACAACTGTTTCTGCCGCCCAAGCAGTGAGGGCTTCACACTTTCCGCCTCCGTCCTCCGGGAGTGCCTTTTGACCAAGTTCTCTGCCCCTGCTTTCCCCTTCATCTCACTGCCCCACAAACACCCCCTCCACCCCTGTCTTCTTCCCCCAGTCTCTGGAGCGATTCCTCTGCTCTGAGCTCCGCAAGAGGACTTTCCTAAGAAGCTGTGACTTTCCACACGAAGTGCCTTTTAATAAACCAGGTTGTTTTCTGGGAGGAGAACGCACCTTGAACCCTCCTTCTTTCCGTGTAGGAATTGAGGAAGCTGCCATTATACCGAGTCAGGCCAGCTGTCCATGTAGTTCAGTATTGTCTACACTGACTGGCAGCCGCTCTCCAGGGTTTCAGGCAAGGGAGTCTCTCTCTCTCTCTCTGCCAACCAGGTGGTCTGCCACTCAACTGTGGCTCTTTCCTAGAGATAAAGTAAGGTTCCAGTCCTCATGGGTTGATTGCAATAGGAACATGAGAAGCTGCCTAGCTCATAGGTCCACATAACTCAGTGTTTTCTACTTCACCGGCAGCAGCTCTCCAGGGTTTCAGGCAAGGGGTCTTTTCCCAGGAGATGCCGGGGATTGAACCTGGAACCTCCTGCGTGCAAAGCAGATGCTCTGCCACGGAGCTACCGCCCCCTAGAAATAAAGATCGCAGTCCTTTCTTTTATCCCGGAGAGGGCAGTTGCCTTCTCTGGATGCATCTAATTGACTACTATAAGAAACAGGAAGCTGGACTAATCGAGCCTTTGGCCTGGTCCAACAGGGCTCTTCGGTTGGTTGGTTTATTGACAATTCAGTGCATTTGGTCCCCTGCTTGTCGGCCAAAAAGACTTCCAGAGTGGCTTACATCATTTAAAACAAGGCAGTCCTTCCCCACAGGCTTACAACCTGAAAAAAAGCAAAAGAGGGAAGAGCATCAGGGAGGGAAGAGGAAAGAAAGCAAACTCAGGCGCCAACTTTCAGATAGCAGTTCTTACATAATGACTGGCTGGAACAGAAAGAGCCCCAGGGGTAGTTAGTGCCCTTTCGGCAAAGCTGGTGGAACGGCCCTGCTTCTCTCTTCATCATCATCAACATCATCATTTTTAATTTGTATACCGTCTTTCTATCTTACAATACTCAAGGCGGTTTACAAGCTGAAGAAACAAAAAATGTACATCTTATAACAATCTAATGCAATACAAAAATGTGATAATAAAACATAACTTTAAAATAGGCAACCTACATCAAAAAAGTAACATTCAACAATTATTAGAATAATATAAAATACAGTGGTACCTCAGGTTAAGTACTTAATTCGTTCCAGAGGTCCGTTCTTAACCTGAAGCTGTTCTTAACCTGAAGCACCACTTTAGCTAATGGGGCCTCCCGCTGCTGCCGCGCCGCAGCTGTGTACTATTTCTGGGTTAGCGGAGTCTGTAACCTGAAGCGTATGTAACCTGAAGCGTATGTGTAATGGTTCTAGAGGTTGCTCGTGCGTAAGCAGGTGCCTATCTCCCCGGCTGGGTGCAAACACCTGGCTGGGTTCCCAAAGTGAACCTTTTCTGTCCGGACAGCCACTCACCCGTGGCTGACTCAATCGCTGGCAGAATCCGTCAGTGGGCGTTTCTTAAACTTCTTCCAGCAAAGAAGCTCTTTGACGCCTAGTCTCCTCCTACTCTCTCTGCGCGAAAGCCTTCTGCGCAAGGAGGGCGTAGGCAACGGAGGACCCCTACTCTCCCCGCTGGTCCCAGGCAAGGAGTCATGGGACCGCCTCGCCGCTTCCCCCATCTGCCCCCCTTCTCCACTGGTGCTACGCTGATTCTCTTCCCCAGAAGATGGGCTGCTCCTCCCGATCCCTGGACGCTCTCTGGAATCCCTCTGGCTTTTGCTCTCTCTCTCCCCGGCACTGATGGCAGTTCCCTGACAGTATGTAACCCGAGGTACCGCTGTAATATCAACATATAAAAGTTAAACAGAAATCCACTCAACAGTTACAATAAATAATATCTAAACTCTAATCAATAAAACAACAAGCCACAGTACATAAAACAATACAATACACACTGAGAAGCAGAGACTAGAGGGTAGAGCCTTGCCTGATGGAGTCTCTCCCCTCACAGTTCTTCCTTCAAGAACAGCTCCCTTATGAGGACTCTTGCGTCCACCACCCAGCAGGAAGTTCTCCTGCACAAGCTGCCTTGATGTGCTACGCAAGGGCATCTTCTTCCTTAGGGAACTTGGGGGGTGGGGTGTCCCCCCTTTGAACATCTCCGTCTCCCGCCCCAAAACGGGCTGATTGCAGAAGCGTTCGTAATTCTCTCTGGGAGCTTGAACCCATTTCTAATCCCAGAGCTGTCCTGTGGTTCACAGCAGCGCCATGCCTCTGTTCACGTGCAGAGTGCGCCTCCCTCGCCAACAGGTTCTCATGATTCAGGAGCCAAGATTTTAAGGCCAAGCATCGTGACCAGCTTCCTCGGAATATATCAAGTGTGCTGTACTCTAGGGAAAAACGCACCACACCTTCCCATTCCTTGAAGCCACCGATATCCCCGGAAGCCAGTCATTAGTTCGCTCCTGCTAATTATCCAACTCACTTTGCCACGCCAGCTGTGCAGGTGCTAATTTTAAAAATCTAGAAAATCCTGGCTTTGGAACAAGGAGAGACCTGGCAGGACGGGAAGGTCCCAGTTTATGGCAGAAGCTCGCCTGACGCACAGGGCAGGCTGTTCTGGATGATCGCGGCCTCAGGGGCTGCGTTTGGCACTGCGGAACAAGAAATGCAACTGTGGAAAGGATAACTTGAAAGAGAAATTGGGTCAACTAGCATTTTGGGCAGAGGTTGCAAGCTTCTGAGTCACACAGGATTCTTTTTCAGACTCTATAGAGTCCAGGAAAGAAATAGTGGGTTGTATTGAACATTGGATACCCAAGAGTAAACCCACTGAAGTTAAATGGGCATGGCTGACTTGGGGGGCCCTACAATCCAATGCATCTGCTCTGAAACAGCTTCAACCTGGCTTTCAAACCTTCGCTGCAGCACAGTTTTAAAGGATCCCTTTCTGCTCCAAGGCTTCTTTGATTCCTATCATTCCATATTTTTAAAACTTGATTACAGTTGTTCTGCTGCCTTGCAGGGTATCTTCAGGAGAAGAAATGGTTAAGGAGTAAACTTAAGGAGCAGAGCAGAGTCCTTAAGACAGTTGAGTGGCGCCTTGTTCACCTCCTTCCGGCATCTCCTGCACCCAGACTGGTGCCAAACATCTTGCTCTGCTTACCTTTAGACCACACCTTCGAGGCTGGGGGGGGGGGGATCTTGTTGTGTGGCAGCTCAGAGCCTCCAGACCATGGGTTGGCAAACTAAGGTCTGTGGGCCAGATCAGGCCCAATTGCCTGACGGTCCAGGAATCGCCGTGTGGATCGCCAGCACGCTCATTCTTTCCCTCTCCCTCCCTCCCTTGGCGGCGGCGCCTCCTCCCTCCCTCCTCCTGGCTTCTCCTCGCCCTGCCTAGAGGAGGAAGGGGACTGGGCTTTGTTGGTGCCAGCAGCAGTAGCGCTTCAGCGGCCGCCATTTTAAGCAGCCCCTCTCTGGAGCCCTTTTGCGCGCCGCTCATCGTCCCGCACTGCCAGCCCCTGCCGCTTGCAAGACACAGGTAAGCAGCCACCGGGGCTCATCCGGTGCTGTGGAGAAGGGAGGGGAGAGTCAGGGGGTGGCTTATAGTCCGGCCCCCTGCAAGGTCTGAGGGACAGTGGACCGGCCCCCTGCTGGAAAAGTTTGCTGACCCCTGCTCCAGACCCACGGCCCAGGCTTGCGCCCCAAGGAGGTCGCTTTGGTGCTGTGGTTTGACTCCCATTGTCTCTCAAGGCAGAGAGATGTCAACAACTTTTGAGTAGAAATTAGGATGCAACCTGATGCTTGAGAAATAGTTGTAGAGCCACAGGAAGAAGCCTTGCTAGATCAAACCAGCAGCCTGTTTTCACAGCGGCCAATCAGATGCTTCCAAGAAACTCTCCGTTTGGTCTTAAGTCAAGACCGGGGTAGGCAACCTAAGGCCCGGGGGCCAGATGCGGCCCAATCGCCTTCTCAATCCGGCCTGCGGACGGTCTGGGAATCAGCGTGTTTTTACATGAGTAGAATGTGTCCTTTTATTTAAAATGCATCTCTGGGTTATTTGTTGGGCATAGGAATTCGTTCTCTCCCCCCCCCCAAAAAAAATATAGTCCAGCCCCCCCACAAGGTCTGATGGACGGTGGACCGGCCCACAGCTGAAAAAGGTTGCTGACCCCTGGTCAAGACCCTCCCTCCCCGTTACTCCACAGCCCAGCATCTCTTTTCAGCAGTCAATCCAAAACTTCTAAAGAACCCCACAAGCAGGCAGAGAAGCACCAGCGCTGCCTCCCCATTCACCCTCCTGATATTTTCTATTCAGCAGGGTATACTGCCCCTGAACCAGGAGGTTCTATTTGCCCCATTTTTAGGAAAC